GTGGGTGGGGGGGGGGGGAGGGGGGGGGGGGGGGGGTGGGGGGGTGGGGGGGGGGGGGGGTGGGGGGTGGCGGGGGGGAAGAGCTTACCTCAGAAGAGCCTACGTACGACATCCAATTAATCTACTTCCGGAGTTCCAGCTGTCAACTTGCGATACCACCATTGTCTGCCACTCATCTCCAGCAGTCAATCTTCGCTTCAACAGATTCCTAAATTCTTTGATTGTCTAGTGCGGGAGTATTGATTGCTGACCAGAGTCAATTGATTCGGTAAGCGTTTGGAAACACCGTGTTCATTACTATCTATCCTCATTGATACTAATTTCCCTAGGACCACCCCCAAACAGCTTCATTTTGCGACCGGTCGCACTGCTACTCAGCTCATCCCCTGGACTGTCCATTCCAACACTAGCGTTCATATCAGATACTCGCGTACAAAGATACTCCCTACTTCAACATGATTTCCGACGACGACCTCTACCGTCTCGCCATCTTCCTTGGTTCGTGCGCTATGATGATGATAGTACTCTACCATTTCCTCGAAGTCAACGCGAAGGACAATGCCGATGATGGAGAAGTCCCAGATGTCAAAAAGTCGGTCGAAGGTTCTACTACTGCCGGTGTAACGCTGGCACCGGCTGCAGCGGCCGCGGCCGCGGGCGGCACATCAGCAATTGGAGGTGGGAAGGACCGGTAGCTATTGTATATTTGGGGATCATGTTTCAGCATGAAGGGGGTTTGATTTGACCGGAGGTGACTCAGAGAGTCGAGCAGAATTGACTGTAGTATACCCATGCAAGCATTACAGTCACAATGAACATCCTCTGAAATTGTTCAAGGGCTTGGATAATGCTATGTCCACTAAACTTGCAAAAAACATCATTCTCAGTGAGAATCAAGAGAGCTTGCTGGATGTGAAAAAGTCCTTGACGCCAATTGCTGGATGCTTGCCAACCATAATACAAACGACAGCTGAATAGATCACGAGATCGAAGGGGTATCATGAAATCTGAAATGTGCTAAGACTCATGCCTCACTGCATAGACATCCTCATCGTTGCTCACCCTCCCAACCCTTGCTGGCGTAGCCAACTGGCATCCACCGGGATCTAATCCATACCCAATCTGTTCCTTCAGCCTCTGTACTGCCTTGAAGATCTCCCGGGCTTTCTCAAATTGTGTGTGGTTGCCATGTACACGATTGAATGCGCGAATCGAACTGTAGCTTGCTGGGAATATGAGCGTGTCTTCGCCCCCTGGCTGAATAGACTCCGGGATGGTTTTAGGCACGGGACTTTCGCCGGCAACACGACCCTCTAGATGGCAGGTAAAGACGAAAATTGTTAACCCTCGAATCCATTGAGCAAGAGAAAAACAAAACACATAAATGCAATCATCTCGATGTTTTCTCACCAGTTCCAGGCACTGATGGTCCATCGCCCAGCTTCCATGCGATAGACTCCACATGTTCTTTCAGTACATGCTTGTATAAGTGCACCGCCGGTAAGTTCTCTCGAAACGTGCAGTTTTTCCATTGACATGTGAGCGTGTAAGGCACGTGAACTTTGAAGATGTGCTTCTTGAGCATTTCAAGATTGTGCAGCTCCGCTTGGCAATTCTCCCAGTCACACGCGTAGACCTGATACGGAATTTGGGAAGTGATGGGAATTGTAACCTCGATCTTAGAGCTCGCGGGTGGTCGCCCAGGAGGTCTCTTCCCGACCATATTGGTTGATGGACGTGGTGACGGCTTTGCCTTTGTACGTATTTGGAATGAGGGTCCGGGCTTTGACTGCGGCTGCGGTGGGGGCTGTACTTGCAATTCTACTTTGGGCGGAGGATGCGACCGAGACTGAGGTTGAGGAGAAGGTTGTACTTGTTTCTGAGAATGGGGTTGAGATGGGGATTTCTGCTGCGGCCGTGTTTGTGATGCCTGTAACGTCTGGGGTAACTGTAGTGGCTGTGGTTGCTGTTGTTGATGCTGTTGCTGATGGTACTGTTGAGTTGCGGCAGCACCAGTGAATGGAGGATCAGTACGGATGATGGGACTCGGTTGGGCCGGACGCGCTATGGCAGAAGTCACAAGCGGGGGCGCGGACACCGGGTGTAGGTCACGTGCTACGGTTGTGTTATTGGCCTGCTTCTCCCGCGGGTCTACCAGATCCCAGCGAAAGGTCTCCAAATCTGAAGCAGTGTCGAGTCCGATGAAGACATCTCGGAGGCGAAATAGATGATGGTTCAAAGGAGCTTCCGTAGGATGGCGCCCAGACGCAATCAAGACATCCCGGGCGATTGTTTTCGGATCGTATTGTAGCTTTTCCGCCGCGTCAGCGACGTTCAGAGGTTCTGCTATATCCGTACGCGTTTTCAAAAAGCCCCTGTCCGTAATGTCTTGCGGGGTAAAGGAATATTTAGAGAGAATTTCTCGAGGCGGCATTGTTGGCTTCGACATGGTCACAGTCGCGGGTGACTCAAGACGACGCCTCTTCGCATCATGGGAATTATTGTCGGAATCAACGATGGCGGTCGTTCGCGCAAAGGGCGGGTAGTTCAGGTATGATGAAGTATTTTGCGGCTGTGTCTGAGCGGAATTCGTAGGCAGGGGTTGTGAGACGGTTGAAGGAGGAGGAGGAGGAGGTCGAGGAGGGACAGGAGGTGGTTGTTGTGCTGTCACAGGTGGGTTTGCTCGGTATTGTTGTCCTCCTTGATAAGAGGTAGAAGGGTAGGTACTTGATGAGGAATATATTGTGGCCTGTGGCCTCACATATGTCTCAAGAGGAGCATAAGGTGTTTGATGATGGTACGGATGGTGAATGTCGCTCATGGGTATTTGAGATGTAGGGGGGAAACCCATGAACGGATCTGGGTGGCCCTGAGGCGGCGATGGGGAGGAGGCATATTGATTTTGCTGAGGGTACCAAAAAGGCCCTGGCTCTCGGTAACTCTGAAGCCATTCGAAGTCATCATTCGCCATCTTGGGCGGACAATGTTACTGCGGAACAATGGAGGTGCCAGTTCAGAGGCTAAGCATGGTGCAAGATCAAGGGCGGAGAGGTCGGAGCGAGGTCAGACATGTCAGTCAGTAAGAAGCATTGTTTAGCGCATGCGTGTGTCTTTCATCTCACTCAGTGGTGATGCGAAATTCAGTAATGCGACACGCTTTGAGGTGAGACTGAGGCCAATTCGCGCGCGGTTTGGAGTTGTCGCGATAGCCGGAGATCTGCGATCAGGAAGGGAACTTTCCCTTTTGGAGAGAGGGGCGACGTCAGCCAATCATCGGAAAGCCGCCAACCCTAGCCTAAGCGGGATGTCATGTGACGCACATTCGGGCTCCCACACATTTTCGGCTAACATCTGAGAATACAGCAAAAAGAGTCCTGTTTCGACGACGACTAACGACGACAACGTTCACCACGCCCGGTCATATCAGAAAAAGAGGCCTATCAAGATGACCGTCATGAACAACGGTATGTTCGACTTATTTTGCCCAATAAAGCTTCATGGCAATATCCTGTTCCTCGAATACGCCTTTGATATCTTACTTCCTCCGAAGACACATTCTCAAACCGCCTACGCTCAGGAATTGTATTGGGAGGATACTGACTGTCGGTTTTTTCAATGATAGGAATCGCCTCTTCCCGCCGGAAGTCGCGCAAGGCGCACTTCAGCGCTCCCTCCAGCGAGCGCCGTGTCATCATGAGCGCTCCTCTGAGCAAGGAACTCCGTGAGAAGTACAACGTACGCCTCCCGTTATGCCACCTCTCCCAAACCGATGATCTCCCGTTTTCAGATTCTACGCTCTTGTTCGGAAGGACTCTCGCAGGAGCACAGCCAGGGATCACTGCAAAGAACTGTGAAGGATGCTCGTTTCTGACAAATAACCTATAGGTTCGCGCCATCCCCATCCGCAAGGACGACGAGGTCACCGTTGTGCGCGGCTCCAACAAGGGACGCGAGGGAAAGATCACCACCGTCTACCGTCTCAAGTGGTGTGTTCACGTCGAGCGTGTCGTTCGTGAGAAGTCCAACGGCCAGAGCGTCCCCATCCCCATCCACCCCTCGAAGGTCGTGATCACCAAGCTCAAGCTGGACAAGGACCGCGAACAGATTCTGGAGCGCATTGGAAAGGGCCGTGAGGCTGCTAAGGCTCGTGCTTAAGGGACTTGTTTTCTGTGTTTCTTGTTGCAATAGGGGCGATGGCGTGGGAGTACATGAGATACTCAAAATGAGAAAATAAACCTGCTATGACCAGGCTTCCGTCTTCCAAGACAGGTGCATGCTATGAATGGAAAGAAAAAAAGAGCAAAATTTCTTCTTCATCTCATGTTTCGGGTTTGGCTCTGAGCGACATCAGTTTGCGTTCCTGATCTTTCCTCTTACCCGACCTGCATCTGCATTTAGGTAACTCCTATCGAGAATACAACCGAAATCGCAGATCCGCTTCGCTCATTCGAATTCGCTCACTCGTTGATCTGATGGGGGAATCGTTCTACTTCCAGGTCTCGATTTCCCCCCCTCCAAAACAAAATCGCCCCCCGCCGCCAACGACCTAACGCAAATCCCAGCTCTGAGGCGCTATACAAGACGCAGCGCACGGAAACAGTCAGCATGCCCATCGCAGCAATCCGTGACATTGAGTTTTGACCACAGATGCGTTCAGCTACAGGAACCCTCGTAGCGACCCCATCCCCCTTACCCCCATTCTCTGAAATAGCGCCAGATTATCTCCTCATCAACCCCGTCCACCAGGGCGGATCTATGGTTGGAGAGGTATACGGCTGGCGCAGAATGAACTGCAGAAGACAACCAAACTGGTACCAACCAGGGGTTATTTCTGCTCGCTTGCAGACTCGCACTGAGCCTTGAGCTAGGAAGCTGCGAGTTTGATAGCGAGGGACATGCCTTCGTAGAAGCTAGATACTGTTCTTAGAGAATGAACCAATCTTGTTATCGAAAGTCAAATTTCTCCAATCTGATTAGATTGCTGCCACCCTCCTGAGTCCTGGTATCGTTGCGACTCAAGCACGTGCGCTTGCAGGAGATATACCAAACCACTATACATTTATCAGCCGAGCAAAGTAATGCGGGATTTCTAACAAACACTGCTTCAATAACTGGTGCTACGCTATTGTAGTAAATCGAAATCTCGATTTAAATGAGATAGGTGACAATTATGCTTTTTGGCAGCATTAACTTGTCCCGCAACAGGGAAGATATATTTCGCTTCCAGTGGGATCAATTACCCGGACGACCAACGAAATCAACGATCATAAAAATATGCCAAGAGAGAAGAGTATATTTCTGAAACAAGCCATTGCGTATATTCATCAAACTAATGCTGCTACCGGATGTGCGTAGGCTAAAAGGGCAAAATAAAGGTGTCGAATCACATAGAGTACATACAAGCAAGGCAAGCGATATCATCAGCCAAGACGGACAAAAAAAGTCACAATCGTAGATGTCATCGTAAGCTGGCAATTCACAGAGCGTTGACATACGTTTTACAGTCGGAAAGGGTATTTGCACAGAAAGAGGACATCACTCCTGTCGTTCAGTGACACGGGAGGTATGACTTGAAGAACGACAAGAGCACTACTCACTGTGCCCAACACACTTCCCCCAAGCCGGCAAGCCGCATCCCATACCAACGAAAAGATAGATGAGGAAGACTACCACAACCGCCAGAAGCACCATCAGCTTGATATTTTTCCACCACATCCGCCGCCGCAGACCGCGACTACGCACTCGGAAGTCGTGCGCGCTGCCCCCGAGCCGATCAGTCTTATCGACCAACAAATCAATCCTCTCACCACGCTCAAGTACCCGCTCAATGTTCTCTGTCATAATGTCACGGACGCTGTCGATCTCCCGTCGGGCTGAAGCAAGCGAGTCCGACGGCGGGGCGGTGTTGTATGTCTGGAGGAGAGAACGAAGCTCCGAGTTGAAGGCGGCACAGCCGTATGCGGGGAGAGAAGAGAAGTCAGTGCTTGAAGGGGGATAGGTCGATAGGAACTTGCGTTTCATCTCAAGGAGAAATGCAAACGGAATGCGACGGCCTTGTTCGGCTGTCGCCACGACGATGTAGCTGAGAGGTGCATAGGAGTTTGGTTCTTGGCGACTGCCATCGTCTGAAGAACCTGTGGGCGAATCTGCGATGTAATGGACGAAGAGACGCTCGTGGGTGTAAGTGAGTTTCTGGGACTTGTCATGCGTGATCTTAGGGAGGATAATGGATGCAAGCGAAGAGGCGGCGGTCGAGGATGTCCCGGGCGACGAATGCTCTGCGAGGATAGTTGTGCGGTGTGCTATACAACAGCTGTCGAAGATTAGTTAGTCTAGAGTGAGAAGGACGTCTGATATACAGGTAGAACATACTAGAGCAGGAAGCTCGAAGGTTGTGATGAGGAGGCCATGATGGTGAGAGACCTTTGCTGGATGAACGATAAATCAAGCCGGCCGCTCCAGCAAACTGAATAAAACCTAGAATTCAATACTCAACAGATAATTCCGAGTTCTTATTCCTTGACTCTGAAGATAAGGAGAGTTTCCATTCATGCAAGACGGCGGTAGAATTCCGTGACGTCGCCGCCAAGTACCCCGGATTCTGTCACGTGATGGACATCAACAACGGCAGCCATCCACCTACGGATGCACCTACGGAAGAGAGAGAGAATTGGTCGTTTACGCAGAACTGGTAGGGATTGATCGAAAAGACCCAATGCACATTCGACTAACTCCAAGCAAAATTGCACCCCAAACGCCTGCTACATACTCAATAAAGAAAGGATCAATCACGAAACCAAAGAGAGTGTCGAGACGTACCTGGACAACGATGATCAAGCTCAGAGCGACCCTCAGTCTCCTCTCAAGTTGATATGAGACTGAGTTGGTTGTCGTAACCCCGGCGTAAGAATATGCGTCGCTGCTAAAAAAAAAAGCGTCAGACAAATGAAATCAATGATCCTGGACTACAATGTCAAGACAACCTTGGACAGCATAATGGTCGCCTTTGATGTCAAACGGATGTGTCGCCCAAGGAAACACCCTTAAAACTCCATCTTCGCCCCAATTGAAGAACTGAACGGATTGACCAACCGCCACAGCTCCACGGAGTTGAGAGTACTGTCCATTTGTGACCCTCGTGTGATAAATCTCAGCGAGCAGCCTTCTGAGTTCGTTAGCAGCTCGCAAGCGGACCGATGTCTTGTCCTGATACACTGCGGTCGAGCAGACGATGGCGAAGAAAGTGCTGAAGCCTTCTTCACCAGGTCCGGTGACAGTCATCGAATGCAGTCCGTACGTCTCTGGTGTCTCAGGACTCGCTGTTCCGGGGATAGCTTCGATGCGAAAGCCGTCTTCCGGGGCACAATGGAGTTTGAGGATCTGGTACCAGATTTCGGTAAGGTCCCAGAGTTTGTTCTCACCGTCTAGGACATCAATGACGGGCTTGACGCTGGGGGCTTGGCGATACTATAACATGTTAGCAAAGAAATGGCTGAGCAGATGATAGAGATTGCTTACAGTTCTCAGGGCGGGATGGACCTCACTCGCTGGGATTCTTGGGTCCCTGTGTGGCAGGTTAGAAGTCGTCCTGGGAGGCGCGCCAGAGTTGCGGGTAAGAACCTGCCTCCTGAGGTCGTTGCTGGGTGGCCTCCTCGCAGGAGTGCGAGTTGCATGGTGTTGTGCAGGCATGGTGCAGTTGTTCGGAAATTATTCGAGCCTTTGGAGAGAAGGTTGGCAGAAGAGCAGGCGAAGCGTATAGAGTTGAGCTGAGAGCAGCAAGTTTGTTGGATGGCAAGGCATAACAGAGGAGGTGAGCCAGCTTTTATACTGCCGACTGTCCATAGCCTTCATATTGGCGATGTTGAGGCTTTCATCAAGATGGCCTGTCTTAACAGGGTATAAAGACTCTTGTCTTGCAATGAGAGATTGTGAAGAATAGAATTTCTAAGGATGATGCCAGAGAAATTCCGACCCCACAGTGATACCAACTGACTCTCTAGAACTGTGTCTTGATCCGCGCATCACTTACCTTTCTCCTTCAAACGCTGCAAATCCTATGAAGAAGCAGGTGGATACAAAGCACTGAGCCGCATTTCGAAGACAATCGTCAAAAACAAAGGACAATGGCGTGGTTTCATTGACTTCGACAATAAATGTCTCTAACATTTCGAGACTTGAAAAGTCGAACAGGCACCCCGGGTGTCCTACGAACATTTACCCACATCCTTTGCACAGATTATACCTCATTATTTCTTAGGCATTTAATAGCTGAGACGTTCTAGGTGCCACTCAGAATGCCAGTGTCAGAAAAAAGATACGAGTAGAGAGGCCATCCGGCACAAAGGAGTTTCAAAGAGCATTGTCACATATGCAACTGACGACAATACCTTTGTTCCTATAGACAAACAAATGAAATTTGTCTAAGCTCGAGGAGAGACCTTTTTCTTGATCCGAGACAGAATTACATCGAGGATCAAGCGGGGCCGTCAGTTGAGATTATAGACACTTGAGACATAATTTGATACCACATGGTGTACTTGCTCAAGGTTTTCTGTCATGTTTGGAGGACGTGCTTTATGCATGTAACTAGGGAGAAGGCTCAATATCATTATTCATCAATCATAATGCATTATTGATGCAACGTTATATCCATCCAAATCGTCGATCCCAAGTCGTTAAAGTAGATTATCAGCATTCAGTGATGTGAAGCAGAGGCATTGTTGGTGTCCACTTGCACCTCCTCAAAGTCACTCAAAAGGTCACTATGACTCGGAGAGCCCACAACGACAGTGTCGGCAGAGTCACTCGCGGAATCAAAGTCGAACTCCTCGTCATCGGCCGAGCTCAGATCGATCGAGGTATCGTCGTCAGCACTCTGCCACCAAGCTGATACATGGTAGCTGGTCCTTCCACTCTCTGTGTCAATATCTGTATCAATTGACATTAGATCACTCTGATGACTGTCCGTGGCCCTGTGAGAGGCACCCTGAACTGTACTCTCAAACTCTGTGGGCGCGATGGTGGAATACGATAACACTGAGGAGGCCGTGCTACCTGTATGGATCGCTGGCCCCGGCGTTGAGAAGCCTCCTGTCTCAAGTATTGGCATGTTATCATCGGTAAAGACGCCTCCGGATCCGTCGTCATTGCCACCAGCCCACAAGGGCAGATATTTGAACTCATTCTCTGTGAGGCATGTCAGAGTATCAGTCAATTCGTAGAGCATGGCTGAAGGCCGAGGCGTGGTCATCTGCTTTGCGTAGTTATTTACGTAACCCTGAGCCTGATCGATGAAGCTAGCGAAGTCAAATTCTATCGTGTCACGCGGTAGAACCAAATCAATCCCCTGGATGTTCGTTAGTTGGGGTGCGCTGTATATAGAGAGCCCGGATCTGGAGGCGTTTGCCGTCGTTTGGGGTCGGCTCGCATCCCAATCGAAGACTCTCAGCTCAAATCTTCTGTAGAAAGAATTGAAGTATTCGACCCTGTCTATCAATATTGTTCGTAATATACCACTGGTCTGCCAGTCCTCTTGCTCTCTGAACTGTGGTATGCTTTTGGCAAGGGAGGCAATGACGGAAGGCTGTCTGGCGGAGCGAATAGCGCACTGGCCACTGAAACTCTCAAGGGCTAGACTTTGCCAGAATGTCCTACTGATTATGCGCTCTGCTGGTGACATCTCTCTGTAAGCGTACGCAAAATTTGGTGATGGATAGCCCTCATCGTCTTGTGAGCTGGGAGATGGTTCTCGGAACCCAATCTCAGTATCACGGCCCAATAGGGTCGATAATAAGGTGCATCTCACGAAGTCTTTCAGACCAGCGAGAAGCCGAGACTTGGCCTCCTGTTCTCGTGAGGATCTTGGTTGAAAATGGTAAACCTTCCGAAACTCAGATAAAGTATGGAGCCATGCCATGCTAGCCCCCATCAAGTGAATGAAACAATTGATGACATGATCCAGGAAGCTCTTACTGGCGTACTCAATACGCTGAAGTTCTGTGTCGTCTAGCGACTCACGCAGGCGTCCATGCCATGTCACCTGAGGCCTCCCCAGGCTGGCCGGTTGGTCCCCGTTAGCCAGCAGAAGCAGGGCCTCCTCTCCCACAAGGATAGAGAAGGTGTCCTGACAGAGGGAGGCGCACTGAATTCCACAAGCTATCCGATAGCTGATCTCCGGGTGGATCTCAATGAACCGGACATTGGTGAGCTCGTAAAACCAGGAAAGAATGGGGTCGCATATCTTCGGTGCCGTGGCAATATCATACAGCTTCGCCAGGGCGAAAAAAGTCCAAAGCTTGCAAGGGGTGTCAAGTTGAGGGTGGAAATCCTCCAGAGCCTGCAAGATCTGCTCAATGCCTGCACGGTGACGAGAAGCAGAGTAGTCCAGCGGTAGTCCAAGCTTCTTGCGCGAATTCTTGTGTTCTGCTTCAAAAACCGAAACCTCGGGCCATTTGGCAGTCTTGTTTCTCACCTCACCTTCCTGGTGCCTCTCAGCCTGTTCACCTGTCTCAGGATTCTGCGCAACTGAACCATTCGACTCCTGGGATGGCAGCCCGCCTAAGCCTTTGTGAGTATTTGTATCCAACACCTCAACCTCGTCCTGCCCCCCGACACACGACATAGGGAGGCTCCATCGTTTCTGACAGCGTGACCACGTCCTGATACCAAGAGGGCAAGAAAGCTCCGTGACGGTGATGACCGCATCTTCTCCCTCCGTGGGAGGAGTCAGATCGATAGCATACTTGAGCCGGTTCGTAAGCCCGCCAGTGAGTCCACGGCGCTTGACAATCCGAGCCTGCGTCCTCGGATTGAAGAGCTTCTTGAAGAACGAGGAATTAGTTTCTAAGAGCTTCTGGCTGTGTATGCGGTGCGGGATAGATTCCCTTGAAGCAGGTAACGCGGAGTTAGTCGACGATTGTGGTGGTGCATCGATGAACACGAGTGTGTCTGCGTTGTCTAGAAGGAGCAGCGGTGGGCAGGGCTCAGGAGCGTTTCTGATCTCGGTCCTTGGGGGCGTTGGTCGAATGGGGATGTAGGTGGCTCCAGGAGAAAATCGTGGCAATTTTAATTCCTCAAGAGTAGAGGAGCCCCCCTCAGCTCGTTCAGTGGTAGAGGATTCCATACTCATACGGCCGAGGTGTAATCCTCCGGTGCTAGTGTTAGGCAGCCCCCGTTTGTAAATCGTCGCGGTATAGGTGCGAGGAGAACAGAACGAAGATGATGAAACCTCTGAATCATGGATTAAGAACAATACTTCAAAGCATGATTAGATGTCAACAACTCCAAGAGAGATCATCAGAAGATCTCAGACGGAAGAAGAAGAAAAAGATATTATTAAGATCACCTGTCAAGTCAGCCTCATTCCTGTCATCTGCAGTCAGGCTCACTACGGGTGACCACCGCTGCAGCCTGAGGGGGCAACACATGTGCTTCCCTGTACTCCGTAGGCTTCCATTCGCTCTTTATCGCGCACAGTTGGGCTATGACGAGAAGAAAGATATGATTAATTGACAGTACAAAGCCGCAACAATCAAGCTTAAAATCTATACTGCGCTATTTGACCATATTTGAATGGCGTTGGTGGATAAAGCAAAGGTCTTGCTTGCCACATCGCTTTCCCATATCAAAGAGGCTTGTTGTTAACCATTGAGATTCCGCCTATCTACACTTTCTCTCCTACCTACACGGAAACACCCCAAACCAGGATACACGGGGAGTAAGCTACAAATATACAAATCAGTGATCGGCCCATGGTACATATCCGAGTGTCCCTAGTTCGTGGTTCAGCTTCAACGTGACGTCAAATCATCGAAAGATATAGTATCATGGGCAGGTCATTAGCCACAGAGGACTACGAGAGAGTTCTCCTGATCAAGGACCACAGCTCTCAGACCATTTATAAAACTGAAAACCTCACGACTCGACCTGCCCAAATACCACGATCAAACACACCGTCCACCTCGGCACGAAACGAACAAGAAATGGCAGCAGATGGACCCCTGACACATGGCCACAAAGGAGCCGTCAAGTACGTCATCTCATAAAAGATCCTACTGCATACCAGACGGCTGGCTGACTTTCATTCTCTTCTTGCTTTGGCAGGTCCCGAAATTTCGCCTTGATGAGCATGTTCGGCGTGTTCGCCGGGGCTTGGCTGGTTTTCCGTGTTCTTGCGCCCAAGCGTGGGTCCTATGTGGTTTCGGACGAGGAGCGGGCGACTATGCGTGGTGGTCTCGGTGATAAGTTCCCTGAGGGGAACAGGACGGCGACGGTGCCTAAGAGTGTAGAAAGGACCTAGGGTTGATCGCGGATACTTGCTTCAAAGAAGCTCATGAGTGACTTCCAGGAACATGGTACTGATAGTTTGGGTGGATCAGGGCCTAGATGAAAGACCTGTAAAGTCAAAATAACAGAGCATTACATGGTTTTGATTCAGTATAGAGGGTATCAATCGCAGACTGGATGAAAATGATGAGACAGCCACACAGTGATAGACACAACAAACCAAAAAGGAGATTCACGTCATTACTGCTCGCTTACCGAGCTCGTCTTAGAAAGGAAATCATGGCGCGTAGTATCATCATGTCATACAGTCTGGTGGTCATAACTCCGGGGTTGGTCCATCGGACTGCATCCCTTCGCTGCTATTCTTGCTTTTGTGGGACGCTTGGAGTTTTTTCTTCGAATCCCTGCTCTCCATACGTTTCTTCTTGTCTCGCTGGGCGCTTCTCATTTCGTCAGGTCGGCTCTGGCTTCGACTTGACTCTCCCCGCCGGAGATCTTTGACTTCTTTCAACATCTCGCGGAATCCCTCTTCGATATTGTTCATGCGAGCCAGGACAAGCTTGCTGAGCATGTCTTGATTGCTACTAGAGCTTTCAGGTCGGGCGATACCACCCGTGGCATATGCCATTTGCGTCGTGAAGCTTGCAGGCAAAGCACCCAAGAATCCGTTTGCAATTGCCCTATTGTCGCCCAAGTCGGAGCCCAGCCCATACAGATGGGATGCCTGACGGCGGCCCCGGTACTGCGACTCGGTTGGTAAGAAGCCGCCCAAGTCAGGTACAGACATGGGATTTGACCTGGGCAAAGCCACATTTTGAGAGTTCCCAACATCCAAACTATGTCTTCTCTGCGCCCATTGGTCTACAGACGTTGCGGTGGCCGCATCATCCCCCGGAGAAGGCGTCTCCGCTCTGGGTCTGATGGGAACAGAAGAAACTTCGGTCCCTTCATCGTTGCTGACCGAGGGGACAGGGTTGTAAAGCATCGTCGCAGCCGAGTAATTCCGCGCGTGGAACTTGGGACGCCGAGAGGGACTGTTTTTGCGTGATTTGACTCTCGCTGTGGAGGGCCGGGAGCTGTAGAACATCGGTGTTGCTTTACCTGGACTCACACCGCCCTGTCTCTCGGAGCTTGAAAAATTCGAACGCCGTACTTCTGTATCATCGCTGGTTAGTTCATCGTCGCCTTCAATGTCTGTGTGCCGAGAAAGCTGTCGTATCCTGGTAGGAGACATGTTGACTCTCTCACGACGCGGCGTGGCAGGCGAGGACACAATATGACCGACACGCCGTTCAGGATCTGAGGTGGCAGAACGATTGGAATCGCTGAAATCGCGGAGACTTCGAGTGGTTCTTTCTCGAAAGGGAAATCGAGACCTTCTGGGTGGCCTCTCCAATCGATCCACTTCATCCGAGTCCTGCTCATCGGGAGGATGTACAGGCCCAGACCCCATAGATTGCATCCAATTGCTGACAATATTCTTGCTCTTTCTCTGTTGCATCAGCCTCGGCGGACGCCGATTTGTCTCCTCAAATGGATTCCGGAAAACTTCCTCAAGAGCACGGTCTTTCTGATATGTTGCCACTGATGGCTCTCGTACAAGCCGAGGAGCCTGAGGATTAAATGATTTGAAGCGACTGTGACGGGGACGACTGCGAGACAAGGCGTCGGGATGAATCGAAGGATCAATGAGATCAATGGGCTCGCTTACTCTGGGACTGAGGATTGCCTTCTCGTAAAGGCAGATGGTGAAGAGAATCGGAAAATGTGTGATTTTGATGATAGTACGATTGAGGCGGATGAATTGTTTGAAAGGCATGAAATAACGGAGCGGGGTGACCAACCAGGCAATGATGTTAGTCGGTGCCACGTAGGAGAAAAGCGCGTCCGACTTGACCATCGAAATAGTATTGACAGCGAATAGAAATTGATGCTCTTGATTAGCATTCTGCACAATCGCCATGAAAGAATTGGTGAGAACGGTAATGAGGATCGTCACCACGACGAAGTGACAGATGAATAGGAAGACGGTCAGAATGATCTTGCCCAAGATGTTGTAATCATCCCAGAGCGTCCACGCAGCGGGAGTGAATCCCATCAACATCTGGAAGAGGGCATATGCAACAGATCCAGGAGTATGCTCCTCGATATTGCCAAACGATAGAGTGAATGCGACAAAAAACCCACTACATGTAATGGCGATCAGAAGAAATACTGCCACCAGGTCCGAAGCCATTATGCGGAACGCAATAAGCAATTGCGAAAAATATCGGTAGTGATCCAGGACCGAAAAGAGTCGGGGAAAGAGCAGGACCGCATTGGCGGCTAGGATGTCATATGCTCTGTCGGCAATTGCACGGTTGTATGGGTGAGGCATCAGAGCACCGTAGAGCCGCATGCAATAATAGCAAAAGAGCAGGAATAGAATCCCAAGGTCAAACAGGTTCCAGAAGCTCATGAGATACAGACTGAAGCCCTGTTCGTTGAAACCAACGATTTCGTCAAGCATGAACCCTGCGCTCCAAAACCAGAAGATGAGCTCCAGAGTCGAGATATCCACTCGCCGTTGCTCCAGAACCGCGAGAAACAAGCCCAGAAGAACAGCGAATGATAGTGTGGACAGAAATTGCCGGTATCGAGGCACTCGAAGCCGGGAGAGCTTGAAGAGAGAGGCGTCTCTTGGGTCGTAAAGCGTCACTGACCGACGTGGCCCGGAGACGAGCTGCGCTGAACTGTGGTGAGCAGCACCGTATGCTGAGCCTCCGTCACGCTGTGCTGCCGTTGGGGAACGATGAAGATTATCGGCAGCTGAATGGAAGACTATTGTACCGGCCCAAATTGCTTCTAGTTGCTGTACCACTACAGGGTGAGCTAAGAACCGTTTCGCCTGAGCGCGAATGGCAACCTCGAGGCAGGAGATACGGGCAGCCCCTGCCAGTCGCTTGTTGCCAGTGCCAGGATACTTGCCCGATGTTTCTTGCAAGCCTCGAGCCATCGGTGACGTCTGGCCTTGCAGGGGATAAAACTCGTAAGAAAGCGCATCAATCAACTCCCTGGTCGAGTACTCTCGCAAAAGCTTGATCGCAAGAAGCTCGCTCACCATGGCTCTCGTCTGGGATGCACCACTGTTTCCAGGGTTCAAGTGAATCTCCTTATTGAACTGCAAGCAGTTCGCCATCAGAGCGTATAATGTTCCACGTGAGAAGTGTAACGCTCTAATCTTCTGCTGGATCGGCTTCACCAGAAACTGCGAGATTTGGGGCGAGCGCAATTGGTCCCATGTCAGCGTGGTTTCGCAGCGCGACTCGATCAACGGCCGAATCGCATGAGTGATATCGTAAACTGGAAGAGCATCTATTTACAAGAAAACCACGTTCAGTTCTCGTGTCATATAAAACCTGAGAAATTGAAGGAAGGGATAACCATACCCAGATGCGAAGCAGAGAATATGGGAAGAAGAGGAGTCGACTCGATAGGACGATCTTCTTCCTCCTGATCCGCATCCTCACCAAGATCATCTGCATGTTCATAGTCCTCATCGTCAAGCAGTGCGCCATGAGTCTCATTGTATCTCATCTCAGGACTTGTATGTTGAACCTCATCCTGGCGAAAAGGCCAAGGACCCTCTCGAGTCGTGTAAGGGGATGAAAATGGGGAAGGTTCCGCGTAAACTCGTCGTTTCCTCGGGCGCAGAAGAGAGGCGAACATTATTTCTAAACCAGATCCCGATATTTCAGGAGTTGACCAATTGAGCGATAGCAATTCTTCAAGGCATCCCGGTTTGGCGAACGCAGCATAGCGTGAGCGACGCGTTTTCCTGTCCAGCTATGGAGAGGGGAGTCGTGGAGGGAAAGACGAAACAAAGGCCGTAAATAATAAACATTAGGACATAACGCAAGGGTCCGCGTGATCAAATAAAGAGAGCTTGTTTGAGGGCTCAAAAGCCTCAAATAAAGCAACAAAAGGCTGCAAAGCAAAAAAAAAAGACAAAACAGGAATATCGAGGCTCGAGAGAGTTGGCTGGAGTATTAATTTACGCAGTGCACATGCGCCTGCTGGGGTGGTGGGGGGAAGATCTCCATGCATGCAGAGATAGTACCTTATGATTATTATTATTATCCTGTCCTTGCTGCAGATCCAGAGCCTATGTCTGGGACTCTGGGTCGATGGTTAGACAGTCATAGGCTCATACTTAGCCATCCTCTCTCCCTAGTCTAGACTAGTAGTCCCTACAGTATGGACTCATGGAGGCTCCTAAGTCCTAAGTCCTAACTCCTAAGAGGACTAGTACTTGGTTTGCTGGGCACTGCAGTAGGCTGAGTCTGGGCTGGCCCGGAAGTTGGAAGTTGAAACTATGGTTGGGGCCGTTGGGCTTACGTGGGGGCATTTATCTGCTATATAGTCTAGATACGGTGATATGAAGTATCCAGATACTACAGACTACTAGTAGTAGATAGGTAGTGCTCCTATGCCCCAAGTTTCAACTTCAAGTGAGGGGTGAGATGGAGCATGGTCACTCATGTCATGAGCTCCTCGTGCAACTCAGAGAAGGAAAAAAAAAAAAAAAGTCCGAGCATCTACAATTCTGCTGAATGACATGATGATGCGGATTATGCCTGCTAAAATTTAGGAGACTTACTTCTTCAGGAAATGTGTAAACGATATCTACCTAGGGTTTTCAGAGTGCTTACTCCCGTACCGCCGTACTCAATGGAAAGATCTCGATACTTGGGTAATGGTACAAATCGCGTGCGCTAAAAAATCAGATTTCCTATGACGAAAGCGAAGAGGAAAAAAAGCATCCAAGCCGCTGATTAGTAAGGTAGGTAGTGGAAGCTCCACATTCCCTGGATTATTACTGGCTTGGAGTGGAGGCGAAATTCCTGCCTTTGTCCGTACGGACCTACTTAGTACTCCGTATTCAGATACAACTTTGGCGAGAAGAACTCACCGGAGAGGATACTCTTTGATTGTCTTCCAATTGCAGGCCAAAATTTTTCTTAAAGAGCTCATGTACTGTCTATGCAATCACTTGGCTTGTAACTGATATAGAAGCTACATGTGTTTGTGTCTATCCTTCCTACGACCGATGTACCGAGGGGTACTCGTGAGAGACAAGGTGCTGGAAAAAGCTCACCGCCTGCAACTTTTCTTGCTTTAGTCCACTTCTTCGATAAGGCACTAACCGAATCTGGGTAGTGGGTGGCAAGGGATAGATTGGAAGCCCTGCACGCCGTGCATGGTTTGCGTCCGCCAAGTGCGGCATGAAAAATAAGGAAAAAAAAGGCAAACTGCCCGGCTTCGCTTGTTTTCTGCTCTTGATACTATCTGCTGTATAAGAGTTCAATTGATTGTCCAAAATTGAGAAGCAATCGACGATTTATTCCTGAATATGTAGATATATGGCTGTACTGTGAGATTATTGAGTATCACTGTAGCATTCATCTTCATCGAATTCAGCAGACAGCAAGCAACACGCCTCTGTGGGGGCAAGCGAAGGAAGATCAGAGGGAGGTAAAAAAAAAAAATCTGCAGGCGGTAAAGACCAGCAGAATCATCCACGATCCCCGGATCGGTCAAAATAATCAGTCCAATGAGAGAGCTTCATGAGCCCGCCGTACACAAAATTTTATTCTGCTGTTCCCACGAGAATTCTTTCTCATCTTCTTCTATATTCCTCCTCCCGTGCTGAAGCAGTAGTAGAGAAACACTCCTCCTTCTCTTTTCTTACCATCAAGAAGAGTCTTGGAGACTGCTGATGCTACGGTAGAGTGAAAACCCTGCCAATTTGTCCCCGAGAGGACCTTTCCCTCCCCCACCAGATACCGCAATGCCGCAGTCCGCCGGTAACGACGAGGTCGCTCTCCCCTCCAGCCCTTTGTCTGGAGGGGCCGTGTCCTACAATCAGATCAACAAGGAATTACAGCCACTCCCATCAATTGAGTCAGGAAATGGAGCCGTGATTCCGCCTGCTTCGGCCCGAGTAAGAGGCAGCAGCGGCAAGATGTTCGCCCTCGAACTCGAGGATGGCACAGTCTACCAGGGCTACAGCTTTGGTGCTGAGAAGAGTGTGGCAGGAGAGTTGGTTTTCCAGACCGGTATGGTGGGATACCCAGAGTCGATCACTGATCCCTCCTACCGCGGTCAGATCCTGGTCATCACTTTCCCTCTGGTGGGCAACTACGGTGTGCCCTCCCGTGAGACCATGGACGAGCTTCTGAAGACATTGCCCAAATACTTCGAATCTACAGAGATCCACGTTGCAGCTCTCGTTGTTGCAACATACGCTGGAGAGGATTACTCTCACTTCCTCGCCGAATCGTCCCTTGGACAATGGCTCAAGGAGCAGGGTGTCCCCGCCATGCACGGAGTGGACACTCGTGCTCTGACCAAGCGCATCCGTGAAAAGGGTAGCATGCTCGGCCGCATGCTGCTTTCAAAATCTGAAATCGCCGATGGCCTCGTGGAGGTGACTCCAGGCGACAGAGACAGCTGGAGATCATCCTTCGAGCAGATCGAATGGGTGGACCCCAACAAGAAGAACCTCGTGAGTGAAGGTAGGTTTTGACAATCGGAGATATACTTTTGAATAGTCCGATATCTGACAGAATCCTCAGTTTCGATCCGTGAGCCTCGCCTGTTCACTCCCCCTGAGAATGTCGCCCTCAAACACCCATCTGGCCGCGCAGTTCGCGTCCTTTGCTTGGACGTTGGTATGAAGTTCAACCAGCTGCGTTGCTTGCTTGCTCGTGGTGTTGAGGTTCTCGTTGTACCCTGGGACTACGATTTCCCCAAGCTTGCCGGCAAGGACTACGATGGTCTGTTCGTATCGAACGGTCCCGGTGACCCAGCGACGCTCTCTACAACCGTGAACAACCTGTCCAAGACCCTGGAGGAGGGCAGGACCCCTGTCTTTGGTATTTGCTTGGGTCACCAGTTGATTGCTCGTTCCGTTGGTGCCCAAACGCTCAAGATGAAGTTCGGTAACCGCGGTCACAACATCCCCTGTACTAGCATGCTGTCTGGCAAGTGTCACATCACCTCTCAGAACCACGGTTACGCTGTCGATGCCACGACCCTTCCCGAGGGCTGGGAGGAGCTTTTCGTCAACGCAAACGACGGCAGCAACGAGGGTATCCGGCATGTTAGCCGCCCCTTCTTCAGTGTACAATTCCACCCCGAAAGCACTCCTGGTCCCCGGGACACTGAGTATCTCTTCGATGTGTTCATCAACACTATCAAGGACACTCTTGCCTCATCTGATGCTCTTCAGAAGCCTGTCTCTTTCCCTGGAGGTACAAAGGCTGAGAACATCAAGACATCGCCCCGTGTCTCTGTCAAGAAGGTCCTGATTCTGGGAAGTGGTGGTCTCAGCATTGGTCAGGCTGGAGAATTCGACTACTCTGGTAGTCAGGCTATCAAGGCCTTGAAGGAAGAAGGAATCTACACTATCCTCATCAACCCCAATATTGCCACCATCCAGACTTCCAAAGGTCTTGCGGATAAGGTGTACTTCCTCCCCGTCAACGCGGATTTTGTGCGCAAGGTTATCAAGCACGAGCGCCCTGATGCTATCTATGTCACATTTGGTGGTCAGACCGCCCTCCAAGTCGGTATTCAGCTCAAGGATGAGTTCGAATCCCTTGGTGTCAAGGTCCTTGGTACTCCCATTGACACCATCATCACAACCGAGGACCGTGAGTTCTTTGCGCGAAGCATGGAGTCCATCAATGAGAAGTGCGCTAAGTCTGCGTCTGCCTCGACCTTGGAGGAAGCTCTCAGAGTCGTGGAGGATATCGGATTCCCCGTCATCGTCCGTGCTGCCTATGCCCTCGGAGGTCTTGGCAGTGGTTTCGCTGATGACATGGGCCAATTGAAGGAGCTGTGTGCGAAGGCATTCGCTGCCAGCCCCCAGGTTCTGATCGAAAAGAGTATGAAGGGCTGGAAGGAGATTGAGTACGAGGTAGTCCGTGATTGCCAGGACAACTGCATCACCGTCTGCAACATGGAGAATTTTGATCCTCTTGGTATCCACACAGGTGACTCTATTGTTGTTGCACCTTCGCAGACTCTGTCTGATGAGGATTACAACATGCTGCGTACTACTGCCGTCAATGTCATTCGCCACCTTGGTGTTGTCGGAGAGTGCAACATTCAATATGCTTTGAACCCCTTCTCAAAGGAGTACTGCATCATCGAGGTCAATGCTCGTTTGTCCAGATCTTCTGCCCTTGCTTCCAAGGCCACCGGTTACCCTCTTGCCTTCATCGCCGCTAAGCTTGGTCTTGGTATTCCTCTCAACGAGATCAAGAACTCTGTCACTAAGGTCACCTGTGCCTGCTTCGAGCCATCCCTGGACTACTGTGTTGTGAAGATTCCCCGTTGGGATCTCAAGAAATTCACCCGTGTGTCCACCCAACTTGGCTCTTCGATGAAGAGTGTTGGTGAAGTCATGGCCATTGGACGTACCTTTGAGGAAGCGATTCAGAAAGCCATTCGCTCCGTTGACTTCCACAACCTAGGGTTTAATGAGACCAGCGCACTGATGTCTATCAGTGAGGAACTTCAGACACCTTCAGATCAACGTCTGTTTGCCATTGCCAATGCGATGGCTGCTGGCTACAGCGTGGATGACATCTGGAAGCTCACTCGGATTGATAAGTGGTTCCTTAGCAGACTCAAGCGCTTGAGTGACTTTGGCAAGCTCA